TTGTTTCAAACAAATTCACACATATGAAAAATAGTCGGGTGAGAGCCCTCTAATTTAATGTGCAGATAAAGAAAAAAATTCCCAGAAGTTATTTTAAAATGCAAGGTCACAATACCTTAAGCAGTCAGGAGTTAAAATACATAGCATTTGGGGCATAGGTCCAGCTCTTCAAATAAGTTCTTATTAAATGAATATATGACGCAAGTAAGGCACTAAGGTTTAACTGCACAACACACTCCCACACTTACTCAACATATGCAATAGGTTTCTCGGGCACCAGGGGAATATGTAAAAGACTGGCACTTTTAAATAACTTCCATTTCTGAATGCAATCATCATTGCCCACATGCAAATTAAGTATTTTAAAATGCCTGAAACTCAGCGAGACTGGGGTAGATAACACTGAGCTCCCCCTTCCAAAACCTGGAAGCAAGATGCATTTTGTAACAACATGAAGAGTAAAAGACTCTAATTTCACAATATTTCCAGGAAAATTAAAATGGTATTCTGATCATAACTTAGTTAATTAATATCTGAAGAACAACTATACATTGTTTTGACAATTTACAGATTGCCTTTGTTCACTCAATAATTTTGCTGTCTCATTAGGCTTTCCAGTGAAATGAAGCAAACTGGATATTAAATTGTTTTCATATATAGGATTTAAAACACTCAACCACTAATATCAAACTATGAATTGTTCAACTGTCTGATATCTGATAGTTTTCTTTCTGATAATTTGTCTCTTTATTCCAGTGCTGTCTCCCTCTGCTTCCAGTAATAACCATAAACCAGAAAACTGGTTTATGCCTATATTCCTTTATTCCATTCACATACAGAAAAGAAAAAAAAAGCCCCTTAATTTTTAGAGGACTCTCTACATATACTGAAAATAATACCACTTCATGAGTCTTTATTTCTCTGTGTCCACGCTATGCTTCAGAGACTGAAAGCAGATGCATTGGCATGTGATTTTAATCTATTTCATGCTGCTCCATTTCTAAACAGTAAGTACCAATTTCACAGGCAAGAGAAAACACAAATAGCACTAAGATACAATATTTCCCAAATAAACATCTCAGCATCTACAATGGTAAAAGACTTTCCTGTCCAGGTGAAGGAATTACTTGATAAGCCTAATAATTATTGTAGCAATGTGCAAGCTGCCATCTCGGAGATAACTCAAAAATTGGTGTACAGCGCAGGTTCTTAGCTTATGAGACTGGGTATACAATGAGGAAAATGAATCAGTCTCTGGGGAAGAACTGCTACAGATTGTCACTGGTGTTAGCTATGGAGAAGGCAAAACATAATTTCATGGGTAAAAATAACATACAGACTTGCCAGCTGATCAGTGAAAGGACCTAGAGATAAGGCAGAGGGAGGACCTTTTCCTCTCAAAGAGGTAAACCTCTGTACATGGAGAAGATGATAAGAAGCCTTAAAATTCTTAGAAAAACTATTTTTAAATAAACTGTAGGAAAAAACCTAATGTAAATTATGAAATGAAAGCTAGCTATTCCATTTGCACATTTCTTTTATCTTTTTAAAGGCTGCTAAACAAGCCAACTGGAATCAACAGCATATTCATAAAAAAACTGAAAAATTATATTTGAAAGTTAAAAGTTTCTAAACATAGACATATTAACATCTTGTCTGTTGATGGCAAAAATAAAATTTTAAATCCACTTTATTAAGGGAGTTTCTTTCCCCCCCAAAAAATAAGCATATTGAATTTTTTTAATGTAAATAAATAATACAGCCTTACAAATTCATTCAATTGACAGATCTTGTATAAATTTTAGGCTTTATTATTTAAACATACACACACAAACCACATATCTATGTGGGATTGCAAATGAAAATAAAAATAAATGAAGTCATTCAAAATACATTTTATAAAATCATTTTAAGATAAAATGAACCCAAATATAAAATCTGCCTCCACATGATAGTTTTTTAAAAATAATTTTCATTAATTCTTTTAATTGCATCTTTATACCATCTTTCTGAAAGCCATATTGTTCTACACTAATCTCACAGAAATAATGCCTATTTTCTGTCTACTCTATTTCTAAGGAAGCAAAGCACATGAAGAGTCCACTTATTTCCTTTAAAATGGATAGGCATTACTACTTTAAAAGGAAAGAGGAGAGTCTGACAAGAAATAGTGTTACCATGAGCAAAACTGCACTGCAATGGACTACAATGGTACAAAGTTCATCATCTTGGTTTAAAAATAAGTTACCTTGGCACCTTATATTGAAACTGGTTTTCTCATTTGATAAGCATGAAAACAGACAAATAGATGTTTAGTAATAAAAATCAATACCATATATTGAGTGTTTTCTCAATGAACTGGGCAGTATGCTAGATTTTACAGACATATCATATCATTTAACCTTCAAAATCACCACAAACCAGTGGCAGAACGGCAATTTAAATCCCAGTCTATCTGACTTGAAAACCCATGGTCTTTCCATTCTGGCTTATTTCCTCTTATAAATCACAATTTTACAAAATCTTTGTGTTCCCATATTAGATCAATCAGGTTTAATTCTGTCACCAGACTTCTTTTATCTCTAGAAAATTAGTCTAGGTGATTATTTAGGTAAATATTGGTAATAAGAAATTTAAAAGGGAATATGGTGACTCAGATAGTAAAGACTACCTGCCTGCAATGCAGGAGACCCATTTTCAATCCCTGGATCAGGAAGGTCTCCTGGAGAAGGGAATGGCTACCCACTCCAGTATTCTTGCCTGTAGAATCACATGGACAAAGAAGCCTGGTGGGCTGCAGTCCATGAGGTCACAAAAAGTCGGACATGACTGAGCAACTAACACTTTCTTTTCATAGAATAAAGGCAGAAGTTTATACAATAAGCCACTTAGTGAACTAGAAAAGAAAAAATAAATCTGAGTTGTCCTGACTATATCTGATAAACCAAGCAAATGTTGTTAATCCTATTGGAAAAATGTGTACAAACTCTTATAAAAATACTAGAGGCTTACTTCTTAGAAGTGAAGTGAAGTGAAGGTCACTCAGTCGTGTCTGACTCTTTGCGACCCAATGGACTATGCAGTCCATGGAATTCTCCAGACCAGAACACTGGAGTGAGTATTCTAAAAGGAATACTGGAGCCTTTCTCTTCTCTAGGGGATATTCCCAGCCCAGGGATCAAACCCAGGTCTCCCACATTACAGGGGCATTCTTTACTAGCTGAGCCACAAGGGAAGCCCTACTTCTTAGAAGCATGACATAATAAAGGGTTTATGACTGCTGCCATTTGTAAACTGTTTCTCTGATAAAAGACACAGGCACTTATCATGAAAATGAGTTCTAATTATTATCCCTAGTATCTACAACATAAGAGAAGAGGCTCTTAAAAGAAGTTGCTTATTAAATCAATTTAAATCAATTAAGGAAACCACCACAGATTCACAGCAAGTTACAAAAAGTATTACAGAAACTCTGTGTACCCTTTACTCAGTGTCCTTAATTGGGAACATCTTATGTAACTATAGTACAAAACCAGGAAAGTGAGACTGTACAATCCACAAACTATATTCGGATTTCTCCTTTAGCTACTTTATTTTAAAGTGTGCAGTTTTTCTGGTGCCATGAAGAGCCTTAGACTCTCCTCATTTTTCTGCTGGGAAAACAAAGGGTCAGAGAGGCTGAAGGACTAGCCAAAGTCAGAGTGCTAAGAAGTAACAAAATAAAAAGCCAATTCTGAAAGACCATCTTTCCTCAGAAACAAAGCATACAACCCCACTGGAGAACATCAGGAGTCCATAAGGAATTCAGTAAAGACATTCAAAATAATCCTGTTTCAAAATCAGAGAGATACATATTTTTTCACATATTAGTTTTCATCTTTCCATACTTAAAAAAATTTCTCATTAAAAAATTTACTGTTATAGGTCTGCTGAAAAACAGTTTTACTGCATCAGCAATATGGTAAACCAAACAGAAAGAAAACTAGGCCAAGATAGTTACCACTTAAAGTCATAGGCTCCCTGCCACCTTCGATCCTAGTATAAAGCTGTCTTGGCAAAAAGCAGGCTCATAAACATTGAATGAATGAACAACTTAAGTGATAGGACCAAATATACCAAACAACCCAAATGTTTTTAAAAACAAACAGGAAAACTTTGCAGTATAATAAAATGAGAATTTTTGCAGAAAAGTATTTATTTTGTGGGGTAGTTTTCATAACATCAGAGCTAGAATGGCCCTTAAAAAACACCTAATCTGGTCATTCTCAACTCTGGCTACACATGAACATCATCTGAGATGTTAAAAAAAAATCATAAGCCCCATCCCACACTTGGAACAGGGCCCAGGCATCTATTTGTGTTTTTAAAGTTCCCCAATATTAAGTCCCTTATTATAAAAGTGGTTCTAAGTACTTTATTAGAGATGAAGAAATTGAGGCCTAGTCAAACTGCAATATCTTATTCAGTAAAAGAATTGAGACCAGAATCCAAGTGGGAATAGCATGATTTTTTTAACATAATATATAAAAAGGATTTCAAGAACAACAAAGTTTCATTTTAACTTTGAAACTGTTGGCCATTTAAAAAACAAAAAACAAAAAAACGTGAAACTAGGCTAAAAGATCTATCAACATTTGAACTCTTCCTAGTGTATAGTTATTGTCATTGGTGAACAGACATACAGGTGAGCAATACTAAGCAGGTTTTGCCTGAAAGACAAAAAATGAGAAGCATGGTTCCCATCTTTCCAGTTAACTGCCCTCCCTAAGCAATTAGTACTCTTGTAGTTCCCTAAATTGGTATTGTAAAGAGCTTACAGTGGATGTCTATCAAGTAAGTTTGATTTTTGAACAAAATGAGATACATGTATAAAATAGATGGAACTGGATATTTAAAATGTGAACCTATAATATTTGCCATATTGCTCATCAAGTTACACAGATAATAATACACATTTTACACTATTTACTAAAATCAAATAGTTACATTTGGGAAATTACCTTTAATCGAATCATTTTCAGCTCTCATTATGTCAATGAGTGAACTCTCCAATGAGTGCATGTCAAAAGTCCTGGGGCGATCCTGTAAACACAAACAGCCACAAACCACTTTTAAAATAGCATATAATTATAAAAGAAAATAATAAGCTGCATCTGATGGGACACAGATCAAAAAGCAGGAATTTTCTTCCCTCTCCATGTAAGGTACATTATTACTACATTTTATTTTTAACACTTGCAAAACACCAAATTCACAAGTACCCAGGACTCAGCAAAGACTGACTTGATTTCCAATAATAATCATCAATAAAAGCATTACTTTCAAGAACAAAGCAAAAACTATTCTCATATGGTTAAGAATATTAAATACATATAAAAATAGAATTCATAGTCTTTCTCTGTCACTTAGGATTTCAGTAATGTGGCAAAGTTTACCAAACTTGTTCCAGCAGTAATCTGTTAAGGTGACATCTACATGTGCTATTCAGAATAGCTATATTTACTTATAAGCCAAGATCTGAAAATAGTCATCAAATGTCTACAAGACCACTAAGTGACCAAGTAGTCTTGATTTTTCTGCCATTAGAATAAAGGGAAGACAAGATATGAAGAACACTGCTGGTCTCAACCCTTAACAAAACAGACTTCATGAGTGGGTGAGGAATCTGAAAATATACAACCATGCTGATGCTGCAGCATTCTTCAGGGTATTAGAGATCACTAAAACCAAAGTTTAGCTTGATAGTGAAAAGGAGATGAAAACATTTTCAAGTTAAATACTAAAGGGAAAGCAGTACAAAACATGTTTCTGACCTACCTTGAGAATAAATATACACCTACAAAGATTATTAAGGTTATTAAAGAAAAAGGGGCTTCCAAAGGAATTTTAGAAGCATGATTTCAGAACTCACTCTTCAATGATATTTTTCTCTCATTACTTTTTAATTCAAAGTTTTGGCTTTTTAAAATAATATGCCTACTTTTATCCCCCCCACCCCCTTTTCTTTCAGACTTGCTAGGATCTCATTTTCCACATTCCAGCTAACTTCTAGAACTTTAAGTTTGATAGAGTACTTCCTCCATCTTTTGATCATTCTGACATTTCTCCTTTGTCCTTCTATAACACTACTCACCCTGTACTATTATTCTTCTTCCCTGAAATAGGGACCACTCCTCCTGACCCCACCCACCAAACAGATATCCAAAAATGTTCACTGTTATGGGACACAAACTTTTTTTTTTAAGTTCCACAACCTGAAGGGTCCAAGGGTAGTTATACTTGGATATAATCTATACTTAAAGTAGACAGTGTTACAGGTTTTTTCCCCTGTGATGGCAGGGGATAAAGATGGGAAGGGGAGTAGGTGTCTTAACATGCTCTTCTGCTCTAAACTAGTATGGTTCCCCCAGAATATCTTTCCCACTTTTCCTCCTGATTCTTTCCTCATTGTCCTCATCTTCTCAATATGGTCAATAGAGAGAGGCAAGAGGACAGGTGGCCAGAATAAGAACTTCTAAGTGTGTTCACAAAAAGGAGAAACGCTTCTGTTTTTAGCCTTTCTCATCTCAAGCACTGAATTAAATCAAAACTTTATTCCATATTCTTTTGGAAGTCAAGTGGATTTGAGGCATAACTGGAGAAAGAAGTTAAGAACAAATTCCACTATCTCATTCTGCAGTCACTGGATCTGTCCTGCCTTCAACAATCTATAAGTCACACCCAAAATCAGGCCAGCCACTATCTCTATTTCCACAACAAAATCAGTCTTGGAGACACTAATGCTCAGCATCTTCACTTACCTATGTCCTCTGACTGTCAGTTTCCCAAAGGTAGGAAGTATGTCTTACATCAAACGTTCCCCATGTGTACAATTCCCAAAGGGTGATGGTGTGTTGAGATGTTCATCTCCTCAACACACAGGACTGCCCAGAGGGCCTGATATGGCAGGAACTCCCTGGCAGACGATTTCTGCTTCTATATTTTCATTTTCTACGTATGCCATGATGTGAAACAGGCTGAAAAGCCTTGTTCCACGTGTCTGTTTATCACTGTGCCTCACACAGGGTCTGGCAGCTTAGAAAGTACACACATTTCCTCAACTGATGAACGAATGAATTCCTCTGAGTAATTTTTATTAAATGTTGAAAGTATTTTTCCTCTCCTATTTCCTTATCTTGAGGTTTGTTTTTTAAATCCCCTTTTAGAGTTGGGCGGGGTCAGGGGGTAAGTAATCAAAATAAAACTGTAATGGCTGTGTGGGAGATGTAAGAGGAGACCTCAGCCTATTTTTTTTTTTAATGCAACTACAGTAGTGAGCAACCTGTGAACTTTCAGGACTTACATTTTGCCAATCACTGAATGACAAGAGCACCCAAGAGAATCAGTTGGGAAAAAAAAAATAGTGTTTTTGTTTGGTTTGTTTTATGACAGCTGCTTCTGGTAAGTCAAGAAGCATCCTTTTCACCTAGAGGTTTCCAAATGTGGTAGTGGAATTCAGCAAAGCCACTTCATACCACCCCGCCCCAGGACTCTCCAGACTATTGTCTAAAACATAAAGATTTTTGCTAAAATAACAACCACTGACTTATGATTGGTAGGGTACATTAAAACTAAAATCCTAAATGGGTATCTAAATTTTCAGTAGTGCTTGGTGGAATTAAAAACAAACAAAAAACCCTCTATCCTTTTTATACTTTTACTAGCCTTCCTTTCATTTGTCATAATTTAATATAAATCTGATAAATAAATACCAATATACAAACTATGACTCTCAGATGCAATGTGTTGAGAAGAATTTTCAGGCTCTGAATGGATTTAGAAGAAAACAGTGCCTCAAAAGACACATGGAAATGCAAGATACAAGTCCTACTGGCACAAGAACCACATTTTTGCCAACCCTGGTCTAATATGTCCGCTTTCCTCGTAGCTCAGTGGGTAAACAATCTACCTGCAATGCAGGAGGCCTGGGTTTGATTCCCTGGGTGGGAAAGATCCCCTGGAGAAGAAAATGGCAACCCATTCCAGTATTCTTTCCTAATATGTCTAACATGTACTTCTCCCCACAATTCAATCTTATTTGAAATTATAATTATTACAACTACTTTACATTTATATAACACTTTGTTTCTTATGATGCTATAGTAATTCAAGCCACATATTTTACCAAGCAAATGTTCTGTTCTCAGACAGGTCCAAAGTTTATCATTTTTGATTACTCTCTCATTGATTTTTTTCTATTTTAAATACCCAATTTTACCAAAAGGATTAAAGTATAAACATCTGTGCCATTAAGAAGTAGATGGAGGGGGACAGACACAAATAAACCCAAGAAATAAGAACAGATAAACAATGCTGGTTTTTCTGCCCAAAAATCAGAGTGTCAAATCAAGAATGTTCTGATTTCTATGTTTCATCCTTCCATTTTGCCTTTTTGGTTTGCTAATTGAGCCAAACATCATAACCATTTATTTATTTTCTAAAATTCATTTCCCAGAAAGTAAGCTAACTATAAAATATAAATTGTTAAGTAATAGAATTTTCTTCTAATAGAACAGAAGAAAATTTCTTCTAATAGAACAGAATCTTCTCAATTTAACTTGAGATGGTGACCAAAATATGGACATCAGCCTAAATCCGTGGAGCTTTAGACACTAGGAAGTGTGGCATGTCATGTGAGCTTGGGCACTTTCATCCTCTAGACCTCATTCCTGATCTGAAATAGAAAAGAGTCTAATTAAACCTCTAAGGTTCCTTTCACAGCAACAAAATACATTTGTATTTTAGCTTTCCCATATCCTAAAACAGTCTGTGCTCTTTCAAGATTTGCAGTTTAAGTTACAATGAGTTTGACAGGAATCGAAGATGTGAACGAGGATGACTGATGAAAGTTTATAACTTCTTGCCCACAAAAAGGTGGGAGTTAATTAATTTTATTGATTAATAAGAAAATGAACTCTTATAAGTCCTAAAAGGACAGTCATTATGTTTTCATTATGCTATACATAATGCAAAATAACAAGATTTACTAAAAAAAAAACACAATTTATTGAAGGGGGAATGTTCTGATTTCCAATAAAAGCTCAAAATAAAACAAAAACACTGATGACTCTATTTTCTTCAACCCACCACTGCCAGTTTATCTTGGCAACCCACAGACAAAAGAAGATCTATTCTTTATTGAGAATCTACTAAGTATCTGACAATATTCTAGGTAGTTTTTAAATACTGTCATTAGTAATCTTCAAACCTCCTTATAATTTAGATTGTATTATTCTCAATTTTGGAGAAGGAAATGGCAACCCACTTCAATACTCTTGCCTGGAGAATCCCACGGACAGGAGTTTGGGGGGCTACAATCTATGGGGTCACAAAAGAGTCGGACACAACTGAGCAATTAAACAATAATTCTCAACCTAATGATACAAACTAAGACCAGGGAAAAACACAGTTTATTGCACAGATTACTGCTTAGTTCAGCAGCTTAGTCTGGATTCAAGAACCCAAGTTTCACTCCAAAGCAGGTGGCGCTACTCTGGGTACAATAATGGTCATGGCAGTCAAAAGACCACACTAATTAAGATACATATTAGAATAAATGAGACACTCTGCCTGCCTTAAGGGTCCTGGAGTGAGGAACATGCTGGCTAGTACCTAGCAAAAAGGAGGCACTCAAGCATGACTCAATAAATGAAAAAAAAAAAAAAAAGAATGAAATGTATATAGGAAATATAGGATAATATAAAACTAGAGATACTAAAAACATAAGAGATAGAGAAGGCTTATCTTCCTTCTTCCTGTTGAGATGACAGATCGATGTGGTCCACAATTTTAAGAGACCTAACATGCATCTCTGATGCTTTTGAACTGTGGTGTTGGAGAAGACCCTTGAGAGTCCCTTGGACTGCAAGATCCAACCAGTCCATCCTAAAGGAGATCAGTCCTGGGTGTTCATTGGAAGGACTGATGCTGAAGCTGAAACTCCAATACTTTGGCCACCTCATGCAAAGAGTTGACTCATTGGAAAAGACCCTGATGCTGGGAGGGATTGGGTGCAGGAGGAGAAGGGGATGACAGAGGATGAG